TATATATATATATCGAAAATATATATATATCATACGATATTGATGTAATAGTTAAAGACATGTGTCGTATTCTATCGATAATAACGATCTCGTTGAAGTTCGAGTTTCATTTTAGAATCCTCTAAATTGTGACAAACGAATGTCCTGTAACAAATGAATATCGTAAAGTGTTATAAAAATAAAAGTTACTCTCTAAATTCTTTGAAGTGAAATCAAGAGTGATAATATTTTCACTCTTTTGGAGATTAACTCCAAAAAGTTTAGAAAGTACGTATGTAAAATAGAATAGTCTCTTTAAAATAGTTACAGTAGTCTCTATAAAATATTTAATAAATTTTTTTACGTTTTCCTTTTAAATTTTAAAATAAAATTTTTTTCATTGTAATTTAACGAATAAGACCGATATTTTCCATTTGATCTTTGTAAATTTTGCAGATAAAATTTCTACAGGTGCAAAAATAATTAGTATATTTAATATATTAGTATATTTAATATATATTTAATATGTATAACGATATTTAATATAAAGATGTCATAAATTTTTGATAAATTAATTTAATAAATTTACATAATAAAACAATAATATATAGAGAGATATATCCACGTAATATATTCTTTGATAATTAACTTGTTTAACTTGGGAAAGCGAACTATATGTGGTCATAAATTTCAAATATGTTGAAGATGCTTATAACCATATACTTTTAAAAAATATGCGTTAGTTATTATAAATATTTTTTTTCATCATATTTATATAATATTTACTACTCATTTCCTTTTATTACGACATTACTGTACATGGTGTGCGAAACATATATCGGAGTATATGACCTCCCGAATGTAGAGTGCTTGTAATATGCACGATAGTTGCTTGTAATTATTTGAATAAATGTTATGAAATAGAATTTTTGTAACAATCTTAAATATAAAAAATAATGATTATTAATAATTACAGAATAATTTTATCTAGTATATGATAATCTATTAAAATTTTTTGTTGTATATCAATCTTCTTTAACAAAAGTCAGTAACATAAACTTGCATTTTTAACCTTCGTATTGTCGTTAATAAGATAGCTCTTAGCTTGATACTTGTACGATATCGATCTTCCCGATGAAGTCTCCCGGGCATTTATCCATTATGGGATCACGGACACCCATAATGGATTTTGTCGCTTATTTCACACTACTTGCCTTGTCATCGTTTAAATTTATCATTATTTCTATTGAATAATATTGTTGTTCCATCTATAACAGCAATTTTATCATACTTATTTGGCGTTCAATTTAATGTTTGGTAAAGTTTGTTATAATTAAAAAAAAAATTTGATTAAAACGTCAATACTAAAAATATTTTAATCAAGGTAATAAGTTTTTGTTTTAATTTTTACATCTTCTTGACGAAAAAAAAACTATCCCTAATACGGAGAAAAATATAATAGAATATGTAGAAAGGAAATTGATATTTATCGCACTGTAATCTCTTTAAAAATTAAAAATAATAGCAATTTTTTTTCAAAATTTCTATCGCAACTTCCACAGAGTTATTTAACATTTCGGTGATTTAAACTGTGAGAAAATTTCAGAAATTTTAAAATTCCAGCGTATTGTGGAAATGAAAAAAAAGACGCAGACGACTTTATGCAATACGCTTGCGAATGGATATTGATTATAAAATGAGTGAATGAATCCTTTGGGACATACGGACATTGCGAGGCATCGCGGACATCGTTTACTTAGATTGTGCGTTCACCACTTCACTGCAGCCGCCACCTATTCGACTACCTTCGACTTCTCACTTTTGTCGGGGGACATTAGTATTACGCTGTCTGCATATGTGCAAAACACGCTAGGTGATATAGTTACAATACTCGTTTATTTTTCGAGATTGCGAGGTGCACGTATATTTGTAGTCGACGGCGAAGGGTTCGCCGTTCGTCATTATTGAGACCAGGTGGTTTTGTACTTTGATCATCCACGAAGATGTTTGAGCCGAAAACTGTTCATGAAATGGTCACGCCGGTATTAATGGCGAACGCCATCGTCGGCATGGGAATTTGGTCCTCCAATCGAGGCAAATTTCTAAACATTGCATATTCGTTGATTTGTCTAGTGATGTATTGTGTCGTGATGAAGTTGTCGATAGAGTACCTGGGAAATCATTATTTGCCCAAAGTGACTTCACTCGGGAATTATACATTTTATGGGATCTTCTACGCCAACATTTGTCTGACAGTCTGCCTCATTCCTTGCGGCTGGTTGAGGAAAAAGGTAATTTAATTTAAAAGATTGTCGTAGAGATTGACATTAGCGTGCGAAAATGTTAAGATGTAAAATCTAATTAAGAAAAAAGAATTAATTTTTATATAAATATAATTATTATATAAATATAAGCTCTTTATTCAACTCTTAAAAAGGATTTTATTGAACGTGGACTCGTGTGATTTACATTATTGTTATTTTTCGACATTCGCAGTATATGAAGGCAGCAATAATGCGCATAGCAATGTGCGAGAAATCTTTGGAACAAATGGGATTGGAAAAGAACTATCGGAAATTGTATCGGAATCAACTTATTGCTCTCATATTCGTCGCAGTGATATTCATCGTATTTATAGTGGTCAATTATGATGGGATGTTCGTGGAGGGTACACCTTTGCATGTCAAAATTATCATTACGTTTGCCTTTAATTATCCCGTCGGTTTGCTCTACGTGAGTGACGTATCATTCTTACACTGGGTCAGGTAAAATGAATCCTCCATGAATACAAACGAATATATAATGAATTAATCCCATCTATGCACAAATCAATAGCTTTGAAGGATGCAATAATTTTATACTTCTTTTACTTAGTTACAAATTTTTACATTACGCGACTCTCTAAATTTTAGTATTACAAAGAGTGAGATTTCACTCCAAGAAATTTAGAGAATATAATTGTTGAAAATTATATATTTGTAAATAATTGTTGTTGGTTTTCTCTCTCTTGCTCTTGCCGTGAATGCTTGAAGCTACGCAAAGATTCGATTCACTCAACTGAACAATCTGCTGAGACTCATGTTAACGACTACGCCAGATTCGCCGCAGCACAAAAGGGTACTAAAAATGAAGGACGAATGGGACAAGTCCTTTGTCGCATCTACGCAGGAGGATTCTAAATCTAAGAATAATACCGACACGATGAGGGCTGTTAAGTGAGATCTTTATTTAAATATAAATAAATTTTTTGTAATTTTGCACATTAAGATCATCTTATATGCACGTACATTTTGTGCACGTATATATTTACAATTGCACTACTCAGAATTTGCATGATAACAAGTCATTTATGACTAATGGTTAATGTCAATTTTATCTTGTTACATTTATTTTCAAAAAATATGATAATTAACATATTCATAACTCACAATCAATGACGTGGTACCACAAATGTATTGTTTTTCACAAATTAAATCTGATAGTTTAATGTAATACTATGTTATGATAAAGAATAATGCTTATTTGTATATTAATTGTATATATTAATTTTCCTGAGGCTTCCACGGGTGCTTTCTACATAAAGATTATGCGTTTCACGAGTTTTCTCCGTGTCTAGATCCATTCTTGACTAATGTTTCGTAAATCTTGCAGTTCACTTCATCAGAGCGAGGAGCAGCCTGATACAGTATTCCCGCGAAACGCATAATCTTTATGTATATTAATTTGTATTATTTTATTATTGTTACTGTTTTATTAGTTTCTTTTTGTAAAATTTGTATAATAAATTATTAATTCAAAATTAAAAATTTAATTATATTAATACTCTATGCAATGAGTATAATTTATTTTATTATTTTCCCTTTTACTAATTGAATTACATAATTTAATTTATACAATTTTTATTGTATAAATTACTATCTATATGTATTAAAATATTATTTAAATAAATTATTTTTTTCAAATTTTTCTTTGTAACATAATGTTAAATGATTTTTAATTCCTTCGTTTACTTCATTTTCATATACATAAATTATTTTTATTAAAATTGAAATTTAATTTTATGTTCAACTCTGTTATATTATTTCATTGTATTTGTGCTTAAAAAATTTTTAAAATTATTAAAAATATAAATTTTTTCTAAACATTTTTTAAGTAAAAATTTGATGTTCATAAATACACACATAAATGTCCGTCTGTCAACGTACTTTTGTTCATATGAGAAAATTGTATCAAAGAAACCGCATTAATCAGTATCGAATGTGTACGGTATTATTGCAATATATTAAAATATTGCAAATGAAGCAATATTTTATTTAGGTAAAAAATTTTCATTTTTCACATTTCCACCCTAGGAAAAAAGTTACATGATAGCCCTGATTCATCGTGTGAATTCCCACTTATATTATTTATTTTTGAAAATGATAAAATTAAATATATAACAAATTTATTCGTATATTGATTAAATTTTTTAGTACTTTGTAATAGAATGTATATATACTTTTTCGAAACGATTTGGTTGATAATATTCTCTTTTTTATGTTGAACAAAGGCAAGTTCATTTAGAATTAATCAAGTCTACCAGGTGTACGAATGATGCGTTTGGCATACAGATCCTCTTTTCTATGACGGTGTCGTTCGTATTCATCACTAGTCTCCTATATTACGCTTACAAGATTTTCTGGCAAGACATCGTTTCTAGGGAGAAATCCCAGAAGGAAATAATACCGGTCATTAGCTGGATTCTGTTCTACTCATCGAAAGTCCTCATCATAAATCATATGTGCGCAATGGCGAGCGTTGAGGCAAGCAAAATTTTTAACGTCCTTTCATTGTTTGTTTGTGTGTTTTAAAAAAAATCAGTAACATAAGGTCTTTTAAATATTATTACTTTTTTTGAGTAGTAAAAAAAATTAATTGGTTTATCATGTAACAATCGCGATATATACATATATGTATATATATTGAACTTTCGCAGGCTGCGAACACAGGTGATATAATCTGCGAGTTGTACGAGCCAACGACCAGCAAAGAATTTCGTGCGGAGGCAAGTCTATCATCTTATCTTAATGAAATAATGAAACTTAATATCGAAATTTGTTACAGATACGAGATTTCACTCTACAATTGATACAGAATCCGTTGACATTCACGGCGTGTGGCTTCTTCAATCTGGATCATACGTTCATTCATGGGGTAAGTGTTAATGGACTTCACTTGAATTTCATAAATAAGCGGAAAAAAGAAACGTCTTTCGAAGATGTGAAGTGGTATGATAAGTCTTATATTAAATTATAATGAAATTTATTATATATAAAAATAAAGACTTTTACCCTATTGTAAAAATTTAGACTCTTGAGTAATCGCTCACACACTGATGATGCGTATTAGTATGACCTTTTACTTTATGTTCACCCTAATAATACCGTTGTTTATTAGTTATTAATTTTCATTTATTTTTTGTTACTTCATGCTTCACCAATGATTAATCTGAAATTTTGTCTTGTAACTTTTAAGCCTGCAATTAATCGTCAAAAATTATAAAATTTCGTATGTTAACGTCAGAACAGATGAGATGAAAATATACAAAGTATCTAATGCTTCAATAAAATAAGAAACTTTGAAGTAGAGATGGAGTCTTTGATTCCTTTGATTCCTGTCACTTATTTATAATTTTTTATAATTTTGATCAATTAGTTTTATTTGCTTGAAAAAAAAAAAAGAAAATAAAATTTGATTCTGAGAAAATGCAACAATAAATTTGTAATAAATGTAAAAAAATCATAAAAATTGAAAAAGTAAGTTTTTTTAAATATTTATTTAAAGATAAGAGTTCTTGGGTTGTTCTGCACATCTGCACAATTAAGAATTTAAAAAAATTGAAGATAAAATAAGATCTTTAAAAATAATATATAAAATCTCCAAATCTTCTCTCTCTCTCTCTCTCTCTCTCTCTCTCTCAGATAAAGTATATAGAATCAAAATCGAATTCTTTTTTCTTAGGTCATTGGCTCGGTTACCACATACCTCGTGATTCTCATCCAAGTTGGAGATTTACCTACAGGAAATGATAAACCACCGAATACTACCATACAACCATATACATTCGACGAGTCGAATATTACTATGACCGATGCATTTACAACCATTACTTCTCCGTAAAAGCAAATTTCGCACATTTTTCATTTCTCATTGTTTTATACAAACAATTTAAAAAATTGAAGATTTTACGAAGTACGCGTGTGACTGTTTTTCTGAATATATATATATATATATATATATACTTTGCGTCACGTGATGCGAAGACAAAAAAAGTTAATTATTTTTTCTTATTGGGTACTGAAATTTTCATGCACGGAAATATTTTAGCAAATTGAAATATTATTTATTATGATATGTAGAATAAAGTGTTATTCTATATCTTTTTCTATAAATGTGATATTTTTCTCCAGAAGAGAACACAGTACGCAGAATAATTGCAAGATAAAACCGCTTTTTATAGAACTAAATTTATTTTATGCTTAAATGCACTTATTTTCGTAGTCCCATAGTCCCTAATGATTTCCCGAATTTATATTCTTATCTTCGAGATGTACACGAAGGGGCAGCGCTGCAAAGTATTTAATTGTCCGATCGGTTAACGAGGAACCGATGAGATCGGATTTTAGCTGACGATTTTCCGCCAATTAGAACGCTGCCGGGGATATTGTGTCAATTACACTACCCTAAGTGCACTTATCCTCCTCAGTTACTATCCAGATGGAGGTGTTAGCCCGTGAAATTCGGTCCTGCCGTAATTCAATAGCTCCTATAACTCGGGCACAGCGCTTCCTATCCCCGATCAGTTATATCGATTATACGTGCGAGTCGCAACGTGAAACTTTCGCAAGACTTCTTCTTTTCTCTTATAAATTCTTTCAAATTTAATTAATGATATTTTTTTATCCTTATATAGTATTTTATATTTAAATAATACGTATGCTATTTTTTTTATTTATTATTCCTTCAATGTATGGATGCCATTTTAATGCTTCTCCTACAATTTGTTTATGTATCTTTTCTTTGTATTTGTCGAATATATATAGATTAATCATTGAACAATCCTATTTCTGAAAAGCAAGAATTCGAACAATTTTAGAATTAAGACATTGCAAAAAATATTTCATTGTATTATAGAACTGCGTTTAACTTTATCGCATCCGACGATGTTCCATCGGCGCATTCGATGCATAATCCGTGAGGAAACATGTTCGAACGTACGGTTCGGAGAATCAAGGGGGATATGTAGGACGTACGTTTATATCGAGGATAACATTAATTGGGAATTAAGGGCGCGAACGCCGGTAGCCGTCAGGAGCCACCTGCTACTGTACTAGTACTCCTCGTCGAGCTAAGGGGATTGATTTATTGTACCCGGGGGAGAAAGAGGGTTTGCCGACCGTTTCGAAGCGAATCTAACCAATGTCGTTGTTCCCTCCTGTTAAATAAAATTCTGAAGAGGCATCGTGGATGTATTATCAACGACATTGTTTTCTACAGTCGCTCTTTTCTCCGAAAGTGATCGAATTTTGTTTTAAATTACACATGATCATATTTTATACGATTGAGTCAATTCTGTTTATTCTTTAACATTATACATATAGATAAAAATATAGATTATAAAAATATAGATATAATATAAAAATACTTTTGAATTAAATTGAGAAGAATGCATATAATAATATATTTCTATATATTGTTCATTTGTTATAACAGCGATACAATTAGAAAAATAAAGTCCTTCAGGAAATAAGCTTAAATATTTTGAAATACAACTTTAAATGTAATGACTGATATAATTATAGAGAAATAAAAGTACTTTTAATATACTTTTAATGCATATTTTTTTTTCATGTTACTTTTTTTTACGAACAATTAAAAAAATGACAATCATTGTTGTAATAAATAAATGATATATTTTTTATATAATGGACTCTGTTAAATCGAAACGGCTATAATAATTTTATTAATGTTCCATTATAAATTTTTGTATAATGGAACATTAATAAAATTATTTTTAATCGCAGCAGACATTTATTTTCCACGCTAAATATTTCTATTATAACCGTTTGTAAAATTATATCACTTATAAAACAATTAATCAAAATTAATCAAATCTTAGTAATATATATACAATATAATCTTCCTTGAAAAACTCATAAATTCCTGATTTAATTTTCCAAAAAGCATGATGGCATATACTGCTTAAAAATTAATTTGATTAATAATTATTAAAAAGTTAAAATTGTTTTAATTAAAATTTGTTAATTATTTTCATTGAAATTTTAACAGATAGAAAGGAAAAAGATATGTACGCGAAGAACTTGGTAAATGAAATCTGTGAACGTCGATCAATGGGCTGTTTTCTTTCGAGCGAAGCATACGGGCTGGATTAGAGATGGAAATTGTTGGATATAGGCAAACACAAACAGCAGCATACGATCCTAATAATCCGCAAACGTCGTTTATCATCCGAAAGCGGATCCGCCCTAACTCGAGACCACTCCTACGCGAGGGTGCGCGCAATCGCTGACTGTTGTCTCTTATTCATCTTTGTGTGTTTGTGTATGTGTGTGTGTGTGTATGTGTGTGCTTTTATATTAAACTTGTCATGCCTATATATATCGACATTTTTCTATTTATTTATTTATATCGTATATATACATATGTATGTACATACATTATATCTATAGAAAAATATTAGTAAATGCTAATAAATAAATGCTAGAATTTAAAATCATATAGATATGATTTTATATTTGCTATATTTATAAAAATGCAAATACAAAAAATCCATATTTACAATCTTTTATTACCATATTTTAATTTATTTTTCAATTTCTTAGCATTTATTCCATATGTCTTCAATCTTTCTGCATTCAAAGACATCGTTGGATCATTATGATTTGGTTTGTGTCTTCCAGTATTCATTTGATTAAATTGAGAACTCCTATTCCTATTTTTCCTCTTACCTGTAAATTTGTCAATAGCTACCTTTTTGTTATTAATCTCTACGACGTCTCTATTTTTGTTATTATTCTCTATGTTATTAATGTCCATTTTTATTTGAGAATCTTCCATCGTTGTGTTATCTGTTTTTATTTTCTTAGAAATCGGAGCATCGCTGTTGACTTTTAAGTTATTCTTTCGTTTCTGCTTTTTATTCTTATTTATTGTATTTTTCTTTTGTATATTCTCATTTTTTTCTTCCTTTCCATTTTCATCCTTACTATCATTATGTAAATTATTCTGTACATCATTCTCTGTTATATGCACAATTTTTTCTCTAGAAACAATATCAGCATTTGTAAACTCTGCGTTAGAATTACTGGTTTTAGCTCTCTTCTTTCGCCTACGTTTCTTATTATTAGTTTCAGTTTGTTCAGTAACATTTTCGCCTTTTTCTTCTTCTTTCTCTTCTGGTTCACTAAATATACAAGTAATATATAATTTATAATATGTAAAATATATCATACATTCTTAATCCTCGTATATACTTACGTATATAAACTCTTAAGAATTTTTCGCTTATTTGCTTCATTCATTGATTTTTTTTTATATATTTGAATCTCATTATTTTCTACGTGTTCTGATTTATATTTAAGAGCTTGTCTCAAAGAACACCACTTATTTAACTCTTTATCATCAGCCATTAAAATC